CAGTTCGGGGCAAAGGAGAGGCAACCCCACACTGATGTTTCTCTCCCTCTCTTTCTCCCTCTCTTCCCCTCACTCTAAATAAATAGATACAATCTTTAGGAGAAGAAAAAGCACCCACTTTCCTTTGAGGGAGACTCCCCCTCCTGCGGCGGGAGCTTCCTTGGAGGAACTGACTGGCAAGCTGCCCGCCCAGCCAGCCAGCGCCGTCCCAGGCCCCAGCATGACCCATCGGGCAGTCCCCGCAGGGCGGGTTTTGGGCAGAGGGCTGCAGAGAAGGGGGAGCGTGGCTCGAGGCCCTGCAGCCTGACAGGGCTCCTTGTTTCAGAGGTAGAGCCCACATCCTGGGAATTGCCAGGTCAGGACCCTCTAGTGGCTCTGTGAGCCCACGAGCACGCTCTACGCACGCCGTGGAGTCCACTGCAGGCAGCCCGGGGTCAGAGGGAGCCCAGCCCCTCCTGGGGCGCCCCTACCCTGGGTGCTGGTACCAGGCTTGTCTCCCGCCCTTCTGGTGAGGCCCCTTTTGCCTCAGCTGGCCCAGGGGCAAGCAAGGGTCCCTGCCCTCCCTTAGACCCAGGAAAGAACCCTCAGTGGGGTTGGATGTGACGGGCAAGCTCTAAAGAGAAGAGTCGTTTCTCTTTGCCCTCAGGGGACACTGAGCTCAGCTTGCTGTGTCCCCAGCCAGGACAGAGACATGTGGCCAGCTGCCCACTCCTCACCTGAGACCCCACGGACAGCTTCACTGAGCAAGGTGAGGTTCACAGGCAGCATGCCTCCCCCAGCTCACCGGGCGGTGAGGAACGGCGGGGACCAGAGCCCTGCTGCTCATGGTGGTCCAGCAGCGCGGGGTCCACAGCCCCAGGAGCATGAGATCCTCTCTGGCTTCCAGGGCGCAGGAGAGAACCGAGGACGGAGGACTTGTCCCAGCCCAGATGGGCTTTGCACCTGCTTCTCACTCACAAACCCACTTGCTCAGCTGCCCCACGTAATAACCGCACCTTCCACACTGGGGGAGCCCATTTCAAGGCCCATCAATAGCCCTGTGAGGCAGCGGGCTCCCCAGTGTGTGGAGGTTCCAACTTACAAATGAGGAAACTGAGGCTCAGGGGCCACTCGCGTGACCCCAGGTCCCGCAGCCAGGACTCGTGCTCACACTCCGGGTTTAGTTTAGGGCTCTTTACACCACGGGTCCCCAGCCTCTGAGCCCTGGACCAGTACCGGTCTGGGCCTCTTAGGAACCAGGCCACAGGGCAGGCGGGAGGTGAACTTGAACGTAATGCACTTAATCTACGCATCTCCCGCACATCGATATTTCTCTCTCCCCTCTAAAAATAAATTTTAAAAAGTCTTTTAAAAAACAACAGTGAAAATATGCAGTGATGTACACAGATCCCCCCGCCCCCAGCCCTCACACGGTTGGGATGATTCTGCAGGTCTCGGAACGCCGTCTGTGCCGCCCTCGCCGTGTGCAGACCTGCGCCTTGGGGGTGGGTTCCCAGCGAGCTGGAGTTGAGTCCTGCTGTCCAGGACGCCCTGGCACAGAAGCCCCGCCCCTGGCTTTGGACGCGGAGGTCACTTCCACGTTTTCACCGTTGTTTTAAACGGTGCTGGAGTCGCGTTGCCGAGCCTTGCCATTTATGCAGGTCTCTGATGGTTGTTGGCTTAGGATGACTTCCCAGACCTGGAATTGCTGAGTCGGGGAATACGGGCTTTATCGCCGACCTGGCCCTCAGAAAGGCTGTCCCAACAGCACCCCGCCCAGCAGCCCGGAGGCCCTGCTTTCTCGCTCCTCTGCCAATACTGGGTGTCACTGTTAACTTTGATTTCCCCCCAGTTCGCTTCGGGCTTCTCTGACTTGTAAGGGACGTCTCTCCTGTGGACGGGCGGCTAGCCTTTGCTTTCGTGTTACCTGTTCAGGTTCTCTCCCCGACCTCGACGAAGGGATCGTCTTTTCTTAGGAGCTGAGAAATTTCTTCACAGGTCAAGGATAGCAACTCTGCCACGGGCTTGTGCAAAGCATTTCTATCTTTATAAGCCCTTCCCCGCGAGAAGATGGGAGGTGATTTGCCAAAAGCTTCGTGGAACATGAGGGCAGCACCCGGACTGAGCCTTGTGCTCCATGGGGGGGTCAGTGGGGTGCCTGCTGCTCTCCCCCCTCCACTGGGCCAGCACCCTCCCCTCCTCACCCCTAACTGCTGACTGTACCCTGGACATGCCCCCGTTCCTATGTGACTTAAGAGGGTCGGTCTGAGGGATTCCTTAAATCACACAAAGTCCTGCAAACCCCTCGGAGCAGGTGCTCCGTGGGTAGATGTGAACGCCGGGCCTGGAGCTCACTGCGGGGACCCAGAAAGGCGCCACGGAGGTGCGGTTGAAAAGGAGGCTTGAAACTTGACCAAGACAGTGCTGTCCATCGGAAGCACCACTCGAGCCGCACGTGCCACCTGAAGTTTTCAGTGGGCACTTAAAAATATTAGGAGAAATGAGTGGAATACGTTTTAATAATATAGTCCATCTATATCAGAACTCGCCAGTGTAATATATAATCCTATTTTAAAAAGAGATTTTATTTATTTATTTATTTCTAGAGAGGGGGAAGGGAGGGAGGAAGAGAGGGAGAGAAACATCACGTGTGGCTGCCTTCCGCATGCCCGACCGGGGACCTGGCCCACAACCCAGGCACACGACTCGACCACGAATTGAACTGGGGACCCCCTGGCGCTCAGGCCAGCACTCAACCCGCTGAGCCACACCAGCCGGGGCATAATCATCTTTAAAAAATAGGAATGAGCTACATGTTATTCTCTCTGTTGTGTACAACCCTTCGAAGTCCGGTGTGCATTTTATGCTGACAGCCCATGAGTCTCGTTTCGTGGCCCGTGGATGCGGGTGTGGACATTTCGCGCAGGGCCTGGCAGGTCTGGCCGTTGCCCGGAGGGGCCGGGAGGGGAGGTGAGAGACAAGGTGCCCGAGGGAGCCTCCCGCAGACCCCTCTTCTTCGGGGCCTGGTTCGAACAGCGCCTCCTCAGGGAGCCTCTCCTGCCCGGCCCTTCCCCCTCCTCCCCGGCCTTATTTTTATGTTCTCACCTCTGATATTCTATACCGACTCATGCATTTTGTTTACTGTTATGTTGCCCTCCCCTGGATAAGCTGTAACCTCCGTGGCAGCCTCCAGGAACCTCCCCGACTCCTCCCAACAGGTGTCTCTGTGCCGGGTCCCCCAGTGTCCTCTCCAACCCCCTTGTGGAGTTTGTCACCAGTGTGAGGCAGGCCGACGGGGGGTTTGTGAGCTGCCCAAGGATGAGGACCACCTTGGTCATGGCAGCGCCTGGCACCTGGGCAGGGGGCGGGGCATGCTCAGGAGTGCCTGGATTTCTGAGGGTCTCTAATGCTGCCGCTGTTGTCCTGATGTCCTGACGGGTCCCCACGCAGACTCCTGGCCTCCCAGGCAGGGTGCACAGGCTGGCCTGGCCAACTCAGAGCCCCTCACCGTGGGCCCCCCACTGGTGTCCATTCTGAGCCAGTGGCCCCGCATTTGGGAAATCCTGTTTCGAAATGGAAATGGGGTCCCCTCCAGCTGTGACCCAGAGCCAGTTCTTGGGGCCTGTGCCCTCCCCGCCCCAACTTCTCCCCTGGAATCAGCACTGGCTGGACAGTAGGTGCTCCCTCACCAGTGGGCCCCTGGGGCCTGGGGCAAAGCTAGAAGGGAGGCTGCGTGGAGGTGGGGGTGGTGTTTGGGGCCGAGAACCAGCCACTCTCGGCACAGCTCCTCTGTGCTCCCCGAACCCCGAGGTCTGAACCAGAGAGAGGCCCTGTCTGCACCTTGAACGGCCTCATCCGGCCTCTCAACCCCCCACCCCACCCCGCACCATCCTTCCTTCCCCCCTCATTCTTGTGAGGTCTGTAGAGTGGCCACCACAAGCCCGGTGCAGAGTAGGTGCTGGAGACGCAACTGCAAACCAGACGAGCACCCCCGCACTGGGGGCGGGGGGGGCTGCTGTTCCGGAGGAGGCGGCAAAAGCACAGGCGCGGAGCCACACCGTTAAGTCTGCGGTGGGTGCGGAGGAACTGGGAGTGGGGTGGGCAGAGTCCCAAAGCGCTGCCCTTCCGGACGCGGTGGCCAGGGGTGGCTTCCCGAACCTCCAGCCTCTGTGCATCCACCGGGCTCCCCGGCCCAGGCCGGGCCTCAACCCCTGCCCAATGCCTGCTGCCTGCCTTCACACGCCACAGGGAGGCCAGAGAAGCAGAGAGGGCAGGTCTGACCCTGGCACCTCCCATCTGAAATTCCAGAGGCCCAACGCCTTGGGGAGGGGGTAGGCCTGCCCCCCCACCCTCCCCCTTCTCTCTGGCCTCAGATCCCACCTGCCCGGCCCCTGGAGCTCCCTGCAGGGAAGGGTCTCCCTCTGCGCTCAGGCCTCCTTCCCTCCTCCAGGTTTTCTGGGCCTGGATCACTTCCCCAACCACCCACCTCCCTCCCCCCAGGCTTGGAGGTCACCTTCCCCCAGGCCGTGGTAGGTGTCCTCACCATAATCTGTGACATCCTGAATAGCAGTGACCATCTACACCCCCATCCCCTTCGCCTGTCCTGTTCACTGCTGTGTCCCCAGCGCCCCACTAATCCGAGTCGAATGAATGAATTTAGCCGGGCAGACACTTGGTTTCATTCAGGTCAGATCTTCAGGGCCGGGCCCGCTCCTTGGTGTGTGTGTGTGTGGGTTGGGGGGGGGGTGCCCTCTGGAGCGCCCCAGACCGATTCAAGACGGGTGGAGGGGTGACCTCGCTTCGGCCCTGGGACGCAATGAGGCAAGGGGGAGCCCCTCGGCCGCCTCGGCTCTGTGCTCACGGGGCCGAGGTTCCACAGGCGCAGGCCCGGTGGGGCGGGTGCGGGGCGGGAGGTGGCGCCGGGCGATGAGTGGCGGCTCCGGGTCCACCCCTGGCGCGCTGGTGCGGGCGGGAGGCGGGGAGCGCAGGGGCGGCGGCGCAGAGAGCGCAGCAGCGAGCATGTGCCGCGGAGCCCAGTAACCAGGGACGACCCGGCAACAACGCGGCCGCGCCGGCGCCCAGCCCAGCGCAGCTCGCGCCGCGGCGCTCAGAGAGGGCGGCGGCCGACCGCTGGGCCTGCCCAGCGGCTGCCCCGCGTCCCGGGCCAAGCGCCGCGCCCAGGGCGGCCCAGGCGCCGCCAGCCGCGCAGCGCACCGGAGCCCCGCGCCCGGGCCGCGCGGGCACCGCTCAGACAAAGGCGCGGCCCGGGCTCGGCCCAGCCCGGCCCGCCGGCCTCCGCGCACCCCGCCCCGGCCGCCCCGGCCCGCGCCGGCCGAGCCGCTCCCCCTGGGGGTCCCGCCGGGGTCCGGCCCGGGGGCGGGGGCTGCGGCCGCCGAGGATGGGGAAATCCAACAGCAAGTTGAAGCCCGAAGTTGTGGAGGAGCTGACCAGGAAAACCTACTGTGAGTGCGCGCCCGGGACCCCCGCCCCCGCCCCTCCCTGCAGCCCTGTCTCCCCCAGACCCTCCGTCCGGGCTCCGGGCCCGCTCTCCACGCCGCTGCGCCGCAGCCCTCCCTCGGCCGTTCCCTGCTCTGCCTTTGCCCCGGCCCCTCGGAAGCCCCGGGCTGCGGCCCCAGCCGCACACCTGGTCCTTTTGTTCTAGGGCATCCAGCGCCCCACACCCGGCCGTGTGTCGCCCGTCAGGGTGCGCGGGGCCACCCCCTGGCCGAGAGGCAAAGCCCTCACCCACCCGCAGCCCCCTCTCCACAGCGGTGGGCAAGGGCAGGGGCGAGCGCGGGCCGGGGGCGGGGGTCCCGGCAGGGGGCGCCCGGTGGCGAGGCGGTTCCGGCTGCGGGGAGCCGACGGGCACAAGCGTGGCGAGGCGGGTGATTCATGCATCACGATGCCACTGCTGCCGCCGCTGCTGCTGCGGGGTTGGCCTGTCGCCCCCTCCCAGGCCCTGATCGTGTGTGTTGGGCGCTGGTGCTGGTGGTGGTGGCGGCGGTGGTGGTGGCAGCGATGGCGGCGGGGCTTGTCAGAGACTCATGGCAGCGGGGGCGGCTGAGGGTCCGTGGTGCCCTGTTGTATTTGCAGGCTGACTTCTTTGGCTCTGATATCAGCCTCCTCCCTCCTATCTCCATATGCCAAACTGGAAAATGGGTTTATGCAGCCGTGGGTGACCCGGCTGCTCTCATCATTTAACCCTCTGGGGTGTCCCCAAGAGGAGGGTCTGTCAAGATCAGCCTTCTCTAGATATGCCCCAGCGTGTCTCCCCTCTTCCCAACTCCACAGCCCCCTCGAACCTCCTTACTAAGCTTCTCTCTTCCCTGCAGCCTCTTGGGAGATGCTCTGGCAGACTGGGGGTTGAAGGCACTGGGTCCTGACCCACCCGTGTTCATTTTGGGGGACGGGACGAAGGACAGCCCATCCTCTGATAGGGCCTCTGCCTGTACGTCTGTCTGACTTGAAAGGAGGCCGTGGCCCTCGCCTTGGGCTGGAATTCGGAGCCCAGTCCAGGCCCTCTGCACCCTCCCTGGGTCAGCCGTTGGACTGCCAACCCCGAGAGATGATGGAGGCTTGGGAGGCAGGTTCCGCTGGTGCATTGCACAACCCCTGCTCCCTGCCCGCTCTGTGCACACACACTCCCCGGGTCTTCCGGGCACAGCGGCGGGTCTGTCCAAGCCCAGACTTCAGCTCCATGCCCCTCGCCCGCATGCGTTTGGAGCGAAGGGGGCTTCCCTGAGTGGGTGCTGGGCTGCTGAGAGGTCCTGGCCCTTCCCCCGTGGAATTCTGCAGCAAGGAGCTTGTAACCCTGGGAGCTGCTCCTCAAGTGGGGAGGCTCCGAGTGAGGGCCAGGGGCTCCTTCCTTCCTGCTCTTATCCTCTATCCGAGGGGAGGCCGGCGGGGGGGCGGCTTCCCAGTTTGGCTGCGGTTCTGTGAGGTTTTCTGGGCCTCCCTTCAGGCTCTGTCCACATGTGGCCCATAGCTGTCAGCAGGCGGGCTGCAGGGGTACCTCCCGGGCTCCTGTGTCCAGGGAGGCAGAGGGTGCGGTGGGCTTTGTGGGGAGATGTGGGCTTGGGCTGCACTGGGGGTGGGCTCCATCATGGTGGAGCAGGGGAGCCCCCCGTGAGCAGAAGGAACCAGGTTTTCTGCCTACTGGGCACGTCACACGCCGAGCTCTGCATGGTTAGCACATTGAGTCCTCCCAGCAGCCCTGGGCATGGGGAGCGCTGTTACTGTCCCCTTCTACAGATGGGGACACCAAGGCTCATGCAGGTAAACAGCCTGCCCAGATGCCCCAGCCAGTCACTAGGTGGTGTCGGGACTTGAATGCAGGTCTGTCTGTCTCCAAAGTTACGTCTCAGAGCTCACACCGAGAAGTCAGGGGGCTTTTCTTCTGTGCTTCCCTTTTCGGTTTCTGATCTGAGCCACCTCAGTGGCTTCTGGCTGGGAAGGGGCCTTGGCAGGCATTTGGTCCAGGCCCCCCCCCCCCCCCCAGGCAGATCAGTCCATTCTGGGAGAAGTCGAGTCAACAAGACCCTGTTAGGAGCCAGTCTGGTGGTGCTGGGCCGGGCTATTTTTAAAGGTCTTTGGAGACGTGGAACAGTTTCTATCAGGGAGCAAGTTAGCCGGGTTCTTTTCCTAGCGCCCTTATTAGGGGTGGCTTGGTGGGGACTTGTCCGCCGCCTGTGTGTCCCTTGCTGCTGCCAGCTCCCTCAGTGCGGGCCCCGGCTGTGTGGCTGTGTTGGCACTGACCAGGTCCACAGGTAGCAGATCCATGAGAAGTCGCAGCCGAGAGAGCAAAGGCAGTGTCCAGCTTGTTCTAAGGCCCCAGGTGGGCTTCCTGCTGGTGGGGAGTGGACTCCCCTGCTCCTTGTTCAGGGGACTGTGTGTGGGTGGAGGGGGGTCAGGAGAGGAGCGTGCAGGAAGGAGTCCTGGATGTCAGAATCTCCCGGAGACTCAGCGCCAGGGTGCCTGGGTCAGGTGGCGCTCCCAGACTTCCGATTCTTCAGGCCAGGTCCGCACCGGAAATTTGCGTCCCTCCCAGGGGTTTGTCCGTCATCTCTTGGTTCCCAGGAGCCACGGGGGAAGACCCACAACTGGTTCGGGGAGCCTGGAGGATGGAAGCATCACCTGGTACCCCGGGCTCACCTGGGGCCCCACGTGGCTTGCTGCTGAGCAGCTCGGGGCCCTGAGGGGAAGCTGGAGGGCACCTCCTGACTCAGTCCTGGGCACCGTCCTCGGTGGTGGACCTCCTGCCCCCATGAAAGACCCTCCCACCGGTCCGTGTGTGTGAGCAAGCAGGGGACGGTCCTAAAGCCCTGGCTGTGTGGCCCTTGCTAGACACACCTGGATCCCGCTGGGCCTCAGGCCTCTGCCTCTCAGGCTTCTTGCTGCCTGGGAGGTTTTTTCCTCCTCTGCAGATAAGGTGCTCTAAGTCGGCAGTGCCTCTCGCCCCAGTCCTGCCCCCTCCCGTAGCGGTTCACATCCAGGAGCAGCAGGAGGTTCCATCCAGAGAGGTGGGGGTCCCTGCCCAGGCGGGACTCAGAGCAGCAGCCAGTGTGGCTCAAAAATGGCTTCGCTGGGGGTCTGGCCCGCTTCTTTCCAACTGGTCGGCGAGACCTTCGTGCCGGCCTGTGGGACAGGCCCGCCCCTCACTTAACCGGGTCTCGGTTTCCTCATCGGCAGAACAGGCGTGCTCCTGGTGCCGGACCCCGAGGGGAAGTAAGCGTCAACAGGATACAGCCAGCCTCAGAAGTGGCAGGTGGTCAGGAGCCATCCGAACGCGTGACACTCGCTCGTCAAGGGTGCGAGGAGGCTCGTTAGTGACCGTTACTGACATTGTCGTTTTGATGGCACAATTCAGCTTCATCTGAACTGGTCTGAGGTGTGTCTTGTGGGTGAGGCCCATCTGCCCATGGGGCGCCGACCCCGGCCCTGGCCTCTGTGTCTGGCGTCCACGGAAAGTGGGGCTCTTCGGGTCGCCCGAATCTCAGCGGGGTCTTCTCGTTCTTTCTGCCGCAGTTCCCCTCTTCCCCGGCTCTTGTTCATTTTTAGGCTGCTCTGACCTACCTTTCATTGAATGCCCGCTCTGTGTCGGGCACAGGGATGGAGACTCGACGAGAGATGTCATCTGCCCTCAGGTGGACAGCAGCCGGGGAGACCGGAAAACCAAGCCGAGCGGTGGGGGCGGTTCCCACCATTTGCTGCTGTTCCAGCTGCACCTGGTTCAAAGCTTCGGGCCCCAGGCAGCCTCCCCAAGAGACATAAACCCCCACCCACCCTCTCTTCCTCATCCTCCCCCACGGTGCTCACGGTACTCTTTAGGGACCCTCTGTCCAGGCCCCAAGGAGGTCACCTCCTCCTCGTTGGTCTTGGGTGGCTCAGGCTCTGCCTTGACCTTGATTGCCAACCTTGAGTCTCTTTGGCCTTTTTCCCGATACCCAGAATGGTGTCCGGCACAACCAGCTTGTAGAGGCGACAAGCGTTGTCCTTAGTTGACAGCTAAGGCCTCTGCACCCCCCAGTGGAGACGGGGACCCCTGCGGGGGGCGGGAGTCAGGTTGAGAGTGGCTGGGTGTCACTGGCTGAACTGCAGGGTCTCTCGGGCTTTGGGAAGGACGCCCTGAAGGTCCCTCCCGCAGGGTGAGGAATATTCTCTGGTCACCGTTCCCTCCACCCAACCCTGCTCCACCAGAGGGGGCGAGACAGCGCCTTGGCTGGAGGCCGAGCCTGGCACCCATCTTGGGACAAACAGTGGCATCGGGGTGTGGAAGGCCCCAGAGCTAGGCGTTTTTTAAGGTCTGGCCTACTTTCTTCCAGCTTGTTGGAGAGGCCGTGAGCCCAGGGGTAAGCCGCCCAGGAGGGGCAAGGCCCGGAGGGGGAGGGGCGGCTTCTGCACCCCTGCGCATCTTGTGTGCAGGGTGTCAGAGGTGGAAAGCCTGCTTCCTGTCTGCAGGAGGCTAAGCAGAGCAGCAGCAGGAGGAATTGAGGCTAGACTCTAACACCAAGCTGGGCGAGAAACAAGTCCTGTCCTGTTGTCAGGACAGGACTCAACATCCTGGAGAATGGGGCTGGGTCCCACTCAGGCTCTGTGACTCTGGGCAGGTCGCTTACCCTCTCTGAGCATGGTTTAGCTCCTCTGTAATACCTGGTCATGTGACTCCAGGGATCCAAATGGGGGAGTGCTGTGAGGTCCAGGATGTGGGACAGAAAGGGTGGCCCCTAAGGTGGGGAGGACTCGGGGCACGAGAAGGGTTTAGCATAGTGCCTGGTTCTGAGGGGACCCTTTAACCTCTCCTGGTGGCAGCTGGCTTTAGGATGCAAGTCCTCTGTCCCCCCAGAGCAGAACCAGCCGGGTGGGTCTACGTCCTGACCCCTTGTTGAGAGAAGCACAGGAGACCAGAGAGGGGCAGGGACTCCCCGGGGTCACAAAACCAGCTCACCCTGTCCTGGCTTCTGCC